AAGACCGAAATATAACATCGTACAGTTTCAGAAATTTAAGAACAAACTCAAACAACAAAGGGAGAATACTAACGTAGCTTCGTGGAACGAGGCAGTAGACTTGTTTAAAACCGTTGCTGAAGCGGCATTAGGCACAAAACGCATAAAACGCAAAGAATGGCTTAGCGACGATACTTGGAACATAATAGAACAAAGAGCTCAGATAAAACAAAGAATAAATGAAACTTCAACTCACGAGACCAAAACTACTTTACAACAACAATATCAAGTATCGAATAGAGCAGTTAAGCGATCAGCCAGAAAGGACAAGCGAGCTTGGCATGAACAACTAGCAAACGAGGCACAAAAAGCCGCAGAACAACGCAATATGAGGGAACTGTACAAAATAACAAAACACCTGAGTGGACAACGTAGTAACTTCAAGACCACTAACATCCTCTGAAGAACAGCTTGACAGATGGAAAGAACACTTCAGCAACCTGCTTGGACCAATAAGTGAACAAAATTTCGACAACGAGGAACCGGAGCCAACAATCGAAATGCCTATCAACTGCGACACGCCAACGAAAACAGAAATACAAAAGGCTATTAAAACACTTAAGAACAATAAAGTAGCCGGCGCCGATATCGTCCCTGCAGACCTCCTCAAAGCAGATCCTAGCACAGCAGCAGACATACTGCATCCTCTAATTACAAGAGCTTGGGTATCTAACATTATCCCAGATGAATGGAAACCGGGTCTCATTATTAAACTCCCTAAAAAAGGAGATACCATTAACTGTGACAACTGGAGAGGAATTGTTTTGTTAAACACCATTCACAAGATAATATCCTCTATAGTTCATTTAAGGTTAAACTCCTATATAGAGCCTACTCTGAAAGAGAACCAAGCTGGTTTCCGACCGAACCATTCGTGCATTGACCATATTAACACATTGCGCATTATCATAGAGCAGTCAATAGAATTTAGGTCACCTTTATTCTTATTATTCATAGATTTCGTCAAAGGTCGTCGATGGTATAGAAAACTCTAAAAGAAAAAGGTGTTCCGGAAAAACTAATTAATATAATCAAGGAACTCTACAGAAACACAGAATGCAAAGTGCTGCACAACGGTAGAACCAGCGACAGTTTTAACTTAGGGACAGAAGTAAAGCAGGGATGCACATTATCGCCACTTCTATTTAATATCGTGCTCGATAGCGTTTTGACTAAAGCCACAGCAAATATTAGGGGAGTACAATGGACTCTGACATCGCATCTGACGGATCTTGATTATGCTGATGATATCTGTCTCACAACGCAATCCTTCAAAGACATGAAAGTGATGCTCAGACGTCTAAAAACAGAAGCAGACAAAGTAGGATTAAGCATAAACATCGACAAAACAAAGTCAATGCGCATTAATACAAACAACAACACTCCATTCAATGTAGGAATCAAACATGTCGAGAATGTAACAGAGTTTACTTACCTGGGAAGTATTGTAACAGCAAACGGTGGCGCAGACGCGGATATTGTCAGCAGGATCAGGAAGGCACAGCGAGCCTTTGGTCAACTAAAATCAGTTTGGACCTCCCGTCAACTCTCCATACAAACAAAATTAAGAATATTCAATTCCAACGTCATACCAGTTTTATTATATGGCTGCGAGATATGGAGAGTGACAAAAATATCCATCAACCGTCCACAGGTGTTTATCAATCGCTGCTTGCGGAAAATACTTAAAATCTTTTGGCCAGACACCATACGTAACACCGACCTGCTTCATCTTACAAACCAACAAGAGTAGGCATTGAAATCCGCAAAAGAAAATGGGGTTGGATAGGTCACACTTTGCGGAAATCTGATAGTAATATAGCGAGATCAGCGTTGGAGTGGAATCCCCAAGAAAAAAGAAAGCAAGGACGACCTGCTCAAACATGGAGACGTTCCATACTGGATGAGCTTCAACAAGTAGGGTCAACATGGAAGGAAGCAAAAACAACTGCCAAAAACACAACCCGATGGAGAGCTTTCACTGAAGCCCTTTGCTCCGCGTAGGAGATATAGGATCCTATATAAATAATAGCACAATCAATCAAAACAACATTCAACCAATTGACCGTATTCAAAATATAAACTAAAAAAACAATCAATTTCCAGGAGCGCACCAAAAGCGAAAAATTTGAGCGCCAAAGTATAGAAATGGATATTTTCGAACATGCGTCAGTTAAGAAGAGCTGTAGCATCGTAAAGACTAGAATATTCAACAAAGTAACTGAGAAATTAATTCAACCTGTAACTGTAAAATATTTTACTAAGTTAAATTGTTTTTGCGGTCAAGATTCCGTTTTTAATCCGGACATGTCCGGGTAAATCCGGACGTATAGAATCCCTAATCCAATCGCACCAAGACACTCATCCGCTCTGGAGGGTTTTCCCCGATTGAAGTCAGTCACGTGGAGGTGCTAAACGATCCAACATGCCCATAGAGATTTTAAACCATTTGAAAAATAGAAACCGCTAAGAAAATAATCCTTGTATTACATGCGATGTCCGCGACAAAACTTGATCTTTTCGGTGATTCACGATTTTAACATGTTTCAGAAATAATAAAAATTATAAATTTGTGTATATTTGTCGTCTGTTTCGTTGTTGTGGCAGGATGGATGGTTAGAACTGGCGAGAGTACTTGATTGCTTAAGTTTTTTTACTAAAACTAACCGAACTAAAGTCGATAGTTGGATGAAAATTCGTGTCCGGAAGTTTTTTGACATCTGAAATTTGATTTAGATTTATAATAACGACTCCTACTTGATTAATAAAAAAAAATAAAAGTTTCCAAATGTATTACCTATTTCAGACAAATAACTATCTAGTCAACATTTTTCAGTTTATTTTATGTCAATGATGACCAATATTGATAATTTATATTATAAATATCTTGAGAACGGTTACTCGTAGCAATTACCAAGAGGAGTTTTTTATGAAAAAAAAGTCAAAAATGTATATTTTTCACTCAGTAGTTTTATATAGGTACGAACGGAAAGTATTATTCTTCAAACCAGTCAAAAATATAGTCAGCGCCCCCTACCAGTAGTAGTAGTCATATTGACATCGAATTCAAATGTTTCATGTCAAAATAGGCAATTAGACACCAATTTTGATCCAAATATCGACAATTAGTTCAGAAACTATTTGGATAAATCGAAATAAACAGGAAACTTCTACATCCTGCATCTCCAAAACGAAGTATTTTTGGACGTAAATGTATACGAACTTATTTACTTATTTTTATATGCAGAATATGGGGTACTTACCAAAGTTTCCCGAATATAATTCGGACCAGCCAGCCTCTATACCTCTTGAAAAGTTTTCTTTTGTTACTTAGAAAAATTTCGAGGCATATTTGTTTTACCAGTAAAAATACATTGACAATCTATAGTTTCCACGCAGTGGAACTTTACACAAAAATTCTATTTTTTTAATTTTGAAATTTCTTTTTTAGTAGCAAAATATTCAGGCATTTTTTGAGTAATGATTCTAATAAAACCTTATAGACATTATTTATTATAGTATTATTTTTTTTAAGATTTGTTGTTGTTGTCATTTCAATTTCTTTAAAAAAATTTTTACCCTCTGGAAGTTTGCAGTGTATGGAAAATATTATTTTTGTACAAATTGGTAAAATATGTTAAGATTGAATCTGTAGAACATTTTTTGTGTTATTTTTCATTGTATAGAGATATAAAACCCCAAAACTTCTTAAACTTTTTTTAATGTTCCGTCACAAAATTTTGCTAGCACACTTCAGATTCGGATTCAGTGTCACAAAAAAAAACATAAAGAATGATAGGCATTGAAACAATCCCAAAACTTTCATACCAAATTACAATTTCACTAAACTAATTTAACAAAATTTACTTAATTGAAAAGATTTTTACAAAAATCGCGCATAGTATTCGAAGAGATTTTGAAGAGTTTTTACAAAGCTGAACTAGTACACGCCACAATACCCCGAACTTCCGGATCGGACTGCATTTTCTTCCGGGCATCTTATTTCATCGGATTCCGGAATGTGTCGCATATCGGAGCGAATCCGCCACAGTCGCGGTCGAACGTGGCATCTAATCGCACCAGGACACTCTCTCCGGAGATTTTTCCCTCATTGGACTCACTCACGCGGAGGCGCTAGACGATGCGACAAGCCCATCCATATTTTGAACCATTTCAAAAATGGTAACAATTAAGAAAATAATCCTTGTTGTATTATTTGGGATATAATTTAATGTAAATCTTTTCGGTGATTCGCGATTTTAACATGTTTTAGAAATAATGGAAATTTGAAGTTTTGTTGTTGTGGCAGGATATATGGTGGGAACTGGCAAGCGTATTCGATGGCTGTAAGTTACTTATAAAATTTGTCATGTTGTCATGATTTACTATTTCAGTAAATATATTAGTCTTGATACCTATTGGTCTATCATAGATATTCATTCCTATAATTTTCATTTTAACGAATATGACACTAGAATGGTATTTTCAGAACACTTACAGAAAAACAGAAACTTGTAAAAAGATTTTTATGATGGCAAATGGGTTAAAAATCGATGAAAACAAAATATAGTAAGATCTTTATTGAAATATTTTCATTTTGCCCACATGAACTATTCAAAATATTTTAGTAGCTGCGAAATATTTTAGTAGCTCTTCTGAATGAGTTACACCATTCAAAAATAGCAACTGCTAACCATATTAATCGTTGTCTTATTGACGAAAATCTATATGTTTTTTAATAGACGCATCTGCTAAAAAAACTTAATAAAATCTCCATAATTTCACTAATTTCCACGAAAATGGCGCATGTTATCCGAAAAAAATGGAATAGATTTGAAATGCTAGATAAGTACCTACATAGCGCAATACCACCAACAACTTCCCGTGTATGTTCCGGAGCGGACTGCGTATTCTTCCGGGCATCCCATTCCTTCGGATTCCGTGTCGCATACCGGAGCGAATCCGCCACAGTCGCGGTCGAGCGTGGCATCCAATCGCACCAGGACACTCCGCTCCGGAGGTTTTTTCCCGATTGGACTCAGTCACGTGGAGGCGCTAGACGATCCGACATGCCCGTCAAGATTTTAAACCATTTGAAAAATGGTAACCGATAAAAAAATAATCCTTGTATCATTTGCGATGTCCGCGACAAGATACGGTGAAAATATTTTCGGTATTTCGCGATTTTAAAATGTTTGAGGAATAATGGAAATTCGAAGTTTGTGGATGTTTGTCGTCTGTTTTGTTCTTGTGGCAGGATGGATGGCGGGAACTTGCGAGAGTATTCGATGGCTGTAAGTTTGTTTTACTAAATTTTCATGGATCATTGATTAAAAAACTATTGTAAAAAATGTACACAATTTATTTCAAAAAATGGATTAGTTTTGATACCAGAGATATTTGTCTATCATTGTAATTAGTTGGCTGTAGTTTTTTTCAAGAATATGACAGTATGACCTTTAAAATACTTACATTAAACTCTACACTAAAAAAATAATATATACTTTTTTACAGGGTTGGAAAAAATCATGATTTTTAAAAAAAAAATCAAAAAATCTGATTTATTTGATTTAAATCAGATTTTTTTTTTATTTCAAAACAATATTCAAATCGGATTCCCGAATGACTAGGACTTATTTCCAATTAAGGTTCTATCCTAAATGGGTAAATCTTTATAACACTGGCCGATATCGATAACATTTACAATTCTACAGTGCGTTTGTTATTTTTCCACATCGGTCACCAATATATTTCGCAAAAAAGTCGCTCGCTTCAGATCAAAAGGATTTTTTTTCAAACGTCTCAAAAGTATTATTTTTTTGTCATTTTAACCCCTAGGCATAAAAGTGAAGTACTGTTACGCCTAAGCACAAAAGTACAAAAATATATTATTAAACTTATATTAAGTGTCAAATTCAACGAGTGTACATATTGTTGCTCGATTACTGTTTATATTATTTGCAATGTTTGAAATTGATAAAAAATGATTTGTAATCTTTTAAAGAAATAGTATGTATGTTCTATTCGGAGTAAAAATGTACTTTTTGTGCTTCCTTGTAACGTCGAACTAGCTTTACGATGGTCCTTCAAAGGTACAGCATCATCAAAAAAAAGTATAATTTTTACTCCTAATAAAACAATACGCTATTGTTCGGAAATAGTCTAAGTCGAGAATGAAATTAGTATTATCTAATGTCAAAGTGTAAAATACTTACTGCAGATCAAAATGTCGGTAAGAATTTGGAAAAATACAACCGTTTCAAAAAAAATATATAAAACAACATATTTCCTTTTATTTTATTTAAATATGCTATATTTCCAGACAACGATTATAAATTCTCGGGAATGAAGATATAGTCTCTATATCAGAAGAACCTAGATCTGGCACTAGACTGCGAATGATGTGTATTCAAACAGCGAATTTTTGTCACTTATACATAAATTTTAAAATAAATCCCTGCGCTTAGCGGTCTAATGGATTCATTATTGATGAATAGATATTTTTATATAGTTTTATAACATTTACAATTACTTTTCGATTTATTATCTGTTATATCTTTTATAGAAATATTTTTTTTATAGTTTTCTAGGACACATTTTTATAACTTTTACAGGAATTTTTTGATTTATAATAAAGTTTCAGTGATTTAAATCACATGATTAAAATTTAAAAAATCACTTGATTTAAATCACGATTTAAATCATGCCAACCCTGCTTTTTTATGATGGTCATTGAGTTAAAAATCAAAGAAAACAAATTTAGCAAAGTTATTGAACCACCTATATGCGAGAATAATACACTCACTGGCATGACAAACGGGCACCTTAAAATTCTGATGTTTTTTAAAGTTTAATATATTTTGTTCTAATAGGCCGATTTTGATGATTCTTTAAGTAGTTTGTAGCTAAATTATTTGACTTTTTATTATCTTTTTCTAAATTAAAAATGAAAGTTTCCTATGTCAGTTATACGAGGGAAAACAACATGTTGATATTTTGGTGAAAGTTTGAAACACCCTGTGGAATATTTTAACAAAGCAAGGAATTTAAAAATATGTTAAGATTGAATTTATAGAACATTTTTTGTGTTATTTTTCATTGTATAGAGATATAATACCCCAAAACACCCTGTGAAATATATTAACAAAGCAAGGAATTTAAAAATCATTTTATCATCTAGGTACGTCTTTTTTCGATAGTTTGTTTTTTGATTCGTCTCAATAGCTTTATTTTTATTGGAGATATTCGCTTTTGAATAATACAGTATCGATTTTAACGCAATTTTAGCATTGATTTAGGGTCCTCATCAACACACTTATAAAATTGTGTTTATTGTTTTTGTAATGTCACTGTGATTGAAATGTCATACTATTATTGTTTATTGACGTTTACTCCGGTAGAGATAGTTTTAAGTTCTGAAATATCGGCTATTGTTGCTTTAATTTATCATGGTAGAGATCAACTTTTGGACTTAAAACCATATCTGCTAGAGTAACTGCCCACCAGACAATAATATTATGATTTTTCAAAGACAGTAACATTACATATAACATAAACACTATGTTATAGGTCTGTTGACTAGGACCAAAAGCAAAGGCATGGTTTTAATGTAAAAAGTACGAACAAATGTTAGTGTTTTCTACTAAAGTGCATATCTTCAAAAAAAGAATAAATCTATAGAATGTCCCTTAAATATGAGAGACACCCTATATTAGTATAGTATTACAAATTTTAATGTAGCCAAATAAGTACGTCTAAGTACGTCTTTTTTCGATAGTCATCAACACACTTATAAAATACTGTTTATTGTTTTTGTAATGTCACTGTGATTGAAATGTCATACTATTATTGTCTACTGACGTTTAGTCTTTTTGTTACGCTCAACATTTTACCTTATTTAAGTTAATAGAAAATATACTGAAAATGAGAATCGAAAGTCCATTTTGCGAATGAACATGTCTGTAAAGCTTTTAACCAGGGTTGGAAAAAATCATGATTTTAAAAAAAAAATCAAAAAAATCAGATTTTTATGTATTTAAATCTGATTTTTTTTATTTAAATCAGATTTTTTTGATTTTAATAGAAAACATTATTTAAATCGGATTTCCAAATAATTAGGACTTAATTCCAATGAAAATCCTAGCCTAAATGGCTAAATCTTATAATTCTGCCCGATACTGATAACAATAACAATTGTACGGCGCAGTTGTCATTTACCCACATGGGTCACCAATATATTCCGCAAAAAAGTCGTTCGCTTCATATCAAAAGGATTCTTTTTGAAATGTCACAAGAGTATTAATTTTTGTCATTTAAACGCCTAGGCATAAAAGTAAAGCATTTTTACGCCTAAGCGCAAAAGTACAGATATATTATTGAACTGATATTAAGCGTCAATTTCAACGAGTGTACAAATTGTTACTTGATTACTTACAAGGTACTACTTTTTATATTACTTGCAACGTTTGAAATTGATTAAAAAATTATTTGTAATGTTTGAAAAAATATAGTATATTCTACTCGGAGTAAAAATGTACTTTTGTGCCTCCCTGTTTACGCTAGTCCGTCAAACGTACAACCTCGTTAAAATAGTACAATTTTTACTCCTAACACCAATACGTTATTGTTTGGAAATAGTCTTAAGTCGAGAATGAAATTAGTATTATCTATTGTCAAAGTGTAAAATACTTACTGCAGGTCGAAATGTCGGTAGAAATTTGGAAAGAACTAGAAGATAAATTGATGAAGGCAGAAGTTATCTTGATCAATCTACAGCTGTTTCAAAAAAGATATAAAACAGCATATTTTATGACAACTGACAACGATTTGAAGATATAGTCTAACATCAAAAGGTTGCGAATGAAATGTATTCGAACATCGTTTTTTTATCACTTATACTATCACTTACTATATATTTGTCAAAATAAATCTCTACCCTTTAGAAATCTAATGGATTCACATGAAATTAAATCGGTCCAACATTTTAATTGATGAATATATATGTAGTAAGTAGGTAGGTATATGTGTTATACAAGTCATTTTCTATATAGTTTTATATAATTTACAATTATTTTTCGATTTATTAAAAGTACTTAAACGTTACAATAGCAAGTGTAACATTTTATTTAATGATAGGGTAGAATCTGTTATAGAAATATTTTTGTAGTTTTCTAGGACACATTTTTATAACTTTTACAGTTATTTTTTGATTTATTGTAAAGTTTTAAGAAAGTTGATTTTTTAATTTTAATCATGTGATTTAAATCAAAAAATCACTTGATTTAAATCACGATTTGAATCATGATTTAAATCATGCCAACCCTGCTTTTAACTCTCTCAAACGCTGCAGCGACTAGACTGTAAATTTATATAATATTTATAATATGCAGTTTCATACATTTGTTCCATACCCTGCAGAGTGACAATCAAAATATTCATGTTATACCGGGTGCGTCTTAAAACGAGATTTTGTTTAGTATATGACATAAATTAGAATTGATTGACGTATTCAATTGTTTTTCGTCGTTTCCTGTTTCACCGGAAATGACTACAATTTCTGATTTTTAAATGGAATCCACGGTATTTTTTGTTACTTTATTCGATAGAAAATGACATTCTGAATAGAATGACATATCACATGTCAACTTTTGACGTTCTCGCTTAATAAAAAATAGTATTTTAAAATTCATTCTACAGTGACATGGCTATGTTAAAAACACTAGGTAATTCTTAATCAAGGAGCCTTGGAAAAATAAATTTGATCGTCTAATGTTTTTTAGTGTCTTGTCCTGGCCAGTTAGAAAATGCTTAAATCATATTTTCAATCATATCTCAATTTTTTCAAATGCAACGAGGGTGGCTCATTAGCATATTTGGAAAAGGCATTTTTTACGAATAATTTGATACCACACACTTAGTATTTCGAGTCAAATTTTCTTTACGAACCGCAAGTTATAATAATTTTAAATAAATCATTTGTGAAAATTTCAAAAGTTGACATATGATACGTGCCATTCTATTCAGAGTTTTATTTTCTATCGAATAAAGTAAAAAAATATCGAGGGTGTCATTTAAAAATCAAAAGTTGTAATTATTTCCAGTGAAATAGGAAGTGACCGAAAAAAATTGAATACGTCAACCAATCCTAATTTATGTCATATACTAACATACCAAATCTCGTTTTTTAACTGAAAACATAAAAAAAATTATAGGGGTGAGCCACTTGTGAGACGCACCCGGTATATAGTTTTTTTTTGACACAGTTGACTATTTATTATAAAAAAATAAAATTAAT